TTAAAAGTTGCTAGCCTTCATACTTCAAAGAGAAGTAACACTTGCCAAATTACTAAGCTGGTATGTTCTATAATGAAGTAGAACTTGCACGTTTCAAAAATTGCTAGCTTGCACTTCTCAAAATAGAAGAAAGAACTTGATCTCTTGAACATCACCAAGAATTGCTAGCTTGCTATATCAAAAAAAAGATAAAGTTAAATTTGCAAACTTACACAACTCAAAATTGTTGCTAGCTTGTATGTTGTAAAAGCTTGCTCATCTCAAAATATGCAAAAGTTTTGTCAACTTTTATATGTGTAAAATTTGCTAGCTTGCATGTTCCAAAATTATGTAAAACTTACTAAATTTGCTAGCTTGCAAATTGCATGGAGAAAGAATTGCTAGAATCGTAAAAATGCTAGCTTGCATGTTTCAAGTAGATGCAAAAAACTTTCTATCTTGCATATATCAAAAGGTGTAAAAATTTTGTAAAAAAACTTACTAGCTTGCATGATGATAAATGTAATAATTTGAAATTATATCTTAAAAACTTGCTAGATGCACTTCTCCTTTTTGTTGATGACAAAGGGGGAGAAGATGTGATGATGAGTTGAATCATACATGGTAGGATGCAATATACTTTGATATTTTGATTCCATGATCATATTTATGATAATAATCATCATATAATGCATGTAATACTCATGATTTTATTATGATGATGTATATGATGTATTACATATGATATGAATCATAATTGCTTTGACTAGAATTCTACTTGAATTCAAGGTTCTATCAATATGACATATTGATAAGGGGAGTTAAGGTTAACTCCATCATTAATTGGTTATCATCATCAAAAAGGGGGAGATTGTTAAATCTCAGATTTTGATGATGAAACCAATTGATACTATTTATGATTTAATATGCGTTTTGAGTGACGCATGAAGCTTCGATCAGGGAGAGATAATTAAAAGTGGGAAGAATCATGTTGGGCCAGAGTGAAACATGTCAGAAGATTGGACGTCGAGCTGGAGGACCGGTCGACGTATCAGCAAAAGGCTTTGGGCCATAGGTTCGGGTATCGGGCTAAGAAGAGCAGAAATTGCCCTAAGGAAATTAGTGTTGCGGAGGTCAATTGGTCAATTGGGCAATATGCCACAAGAGACGACGATGCACCAAAGAATCGGATGAAGCATCGATGAACCAATGACACGCCGGATAACATTTGATTCAAGCTTTGTAATAATTATCTAGATCGAAGTAGGTTTTAAGTATGCATGATTAACTATGATAGTGATCAAGACATAAATCAATATGAAGTCCCGGAGTCAAGAACGAGATTTCGTTAGGAGTTCAAGAGTTTATTGGAAGTCCGGACGTTCGTCGGAAGTTCTATCGGAATTGACCGAGAAGTCCAAGAGCTTGCCAAAGAAGCTTGTCGAAACTCACCAAGAAGATCGTTGTGAAGTTCAGGAGCTTACCGGGAGTCCGTTGGAACACTACCGAGAGATCGTTAGAAGTTCGTCGAAAGATCGCCGAAAGCTCATCGGAAGAGACCTAGACTTACCAAACTTATTTAGCTTAGTGTATGCCTTAAAATTCGTAGTTAGCATATAATTAGGTTAGAATTAGGCCAACTTAATTAGGGGATAATTGGGCCCAAGTTTAGGTTGTGTTAGGCCAAGTGAAAGGCCCAAATAGTGACCCAACAAGTGGAACCGTCATGGTACAATCCCCGAGATTGTGTTAGGCGATGGTACCACTAGTCTGGGTGGTAGTACCACCCATACACAGTCTCTAAGAGACTGTCAAGCAGTGGTACTACTAGACTAGGCGGTGGGATCGCCTAATGGTAGGGTGCCAAGTGGTGGTACTACTAGACTAGGTGATGGTACCACCCAGTGTCAGTGCTGTAGGCGATGGTACTGCCTAGCACAGGTGGTGGTACCGCCAAGACTCAGAAACCTAGGATGAGACACTTTTAGGCTCCAAATTTGAATCCACTTGAGGCCTATAAATACCCCTCTCATCCCTGGTTAACAAACACAAGAATTGAGAGCAAAAAGAAACAGAAATGCTATTGTAATCTTGTGAAAACTCTTCTCAAGCTTTAAGTGTTAGTCTTGTTTAAGAGAGGAGTGAAGGGGGTTGTAAAGGTTCTCTCCTGAACCTATCAAAATGAGAATCGAGTTGTAAGGGTAGTTGATCTTTGCCCATTGGAGAAAGATCGTTAGTGGATGCTGATGGCCTCGACGGAAGAGGAATCGGTGGAGTGGATATAGGTCACGACGACCGAACCACTATAAAAATCTAGTTTACATTTTTATTTTGCTCTTTACTTTAATTACAAGCTGAATTATTGCTTTCACTACCTTCCGAATATGCTTTCAAGTTAACATCTTTCCGAAATTATTTTTCATTGTATGAAGATTTTTAAAACCGATGTTTTTATCCCATTCGTATGAAGCTAAGGAAGAAGCAGGGGCATGAGTGATGTGATGGAACGAGATTTGGGGGTAGAGATAACGCGTGAGGAGCATTGAAAAATAACACGTGGATAATGACTTGAGTAAGTAATGGCCTACGAGATTTAGGGCTTAAGACCAAGATCATGATTTGTGGGCAACAACTTGGAGGAGGTGTCCATATTGACATGTGTGAGCCAAGTCAAAGGCATTACCTGATCTTAAGAGTTCAGATTGTGAGGCATTACTTGGGTTAGGAATTGGAAGATTGGTTTGTACCCACTTATTTGGGTCGATGCCTGTTAGGTCGTTTTTGGGCCTTAACCCATGGCTCATAGATGAGGTCATGCTCAATCTCCAACGACAGATCATAAATCTTCATTTTTTCAGTGTTATAGTTTTCAAAAGGGAAAGGATAAACAAATGTTTGGGAGATCTTTAAAGACAATTGATTGGAAGAATTGTGAAGTATCTTCCATTATCCAAATATCTTGAGAAAGGGGTTTGGAAAGATCAAGCAGGATATAGACACGGAAAATTTGCCTATAAAGCATGAGAGAATTTAGCCAATTTCGATAGCTAATCGACATATGATATTAGGTTGAAAAAATTTCACAAGAAAACCTGGGAACTTTTTTAAATTTGTTCAAGCATGGGTTAAAAATTCAATTTCAAAGGAAGAGGGAGCTTCTCCTCGAATGAACAAAGGGCCACCCAAGAGAACATACAACATTTCTATTTTAGAATTAAAATTGAAAGAAAATACATTCAGTTACAAGGTTAACAATTTGGCATTTTGTTAGTAATCTCTAAAGTCTAAGAGGGCAGACCGTAGGAAATTAAGTGAAGGAGTTTTGTTTAGAAATTTATCATATAAGGAGAATTGCGAGGAGGAACGAATAGTCTTTAGTTCAATTGAGTAAATTTCGATGAAGTGAGAGGCTTGCTCTTGGATCTTTGCAAGCTTAGCCTATAGGGTTGGGTTTAACTTTCAGAAACTTACACCTTGAGTGCCACAAAAGAGTTCCGCCCATGAGAAAGGTGAGAAGTTCTTGTAAGGGTTCTTGGAGATAAAAAATAATTTGTGAGGAATGATTGGTTGCTTGATTCTAAGGATACGGGTGAGTGTTAGAAGGAGGGTTGATGAGAGAAGGGGCCGCCTCCAATGGAGTGGAGGATTTAGAAGCAATGATGTTGTTGGTAGCAGCATGTGAGGGATAGAGGCTTGAGAGGGAGAGGAGGGATCACCTTTGCTATAAATGACAGCACCTCGCTTATGACCATCTTGTTGAGAGTTACTCGAAGGATAAAGATTATAAATTTAAATAAAAAAAAATCTTTAGTGAAATAGAATCTATTACTATAAATATATCATGTCTATCTGGATTTTGATCGAAAAGCAAAATGTAAGAAAATACTTTGAGTCCTCCTAGGTTTCTCTCTAGTGGATATAGAGAGAGTGAGAAGAAAAAGTAAAAGAAATTCTTCAGTTTACGTGAGAGGGTATACAAGAAAATTTATACTTGAGTTAAAGTTACTCAAATATTTGATTTCACAAGGTGAAGAATTTAGTTTTATTCTTAAACATAAGGAAATATTAAAATAATATCAAAGCCTAAAAGATATGAAGAATAGAAATTCAACTAGGATATTATCGATTCATATTCATTAAAAAAATTGATGCTAGAAATAGTTATATCTTATGATAGAAGATGATGAAAGATTTTTTTAGATGTAAGATCTAAGAAGAACATTGAAGGGAGGAGCATGTAAAGATGAAAAGATAAATAGCAAAAACAGGAAAAGAACTTAAATAAATTATATTTTGTGCATAAGACACAAAATAGAGAAAAATACTTACTATAAGGGTGGGATTGATAAATAACTTAGGAGTCCTAATATGATTTAAATCACTTGAGGATTCTGATTATGAATTAAAGTAGAAAAAAAAAACTTAGTGAATTAGGATTTATTACTATAAATGTCTCATATATGTCTAGATTCTCGTGGATAAGCAAGATATGAAAAAATTTTGGATGCTTATAGGTTTTTTTTTTTCTGGGATCTAAAGAGGGTGAGAGAAAAAGTGAGACAAATTTTAAAAAATTTGTATGAGAGAGAAATTGTCCTTAAATTAGATGAAAATTTTAATATTTTAATGGATATAAGTAAAGGTTGTCGTAACAAACTTTCTAGTTAGTTCTTTTCTTATTGATCTCTGTAAATTTCATTTGTTTTAACGATTGCTTTTCCCTAGCATTTATTGTATTTTTATTTAATATGAAATAAATGATAGACAAATTGCAAACGTTTGAGTAGAGTAAGTAGTGAATATGAGATTCCATCAATCCAGATTTTACATTTTACAAAGTCTTGATATAGATATTGGTAAACGTGAAATGCGATGCAATTATTTAGTAGATAAAAAACGAGTTGGAAGCCTTTTAAGTAAATTTGAAAAATGGGGATTAGTATCCGAAGGGTTGGAGCTACTCTACAAGTTGTAACAGGTGCCTCCACATCCCAATAGAACTCCTCCAAATATGAGCTGTAAAAAACAAGTTCTTTTGACAGAAAAATAGCTACAGAAATAGTTACGTTGGTGTATCGGCAAAACTCTCTCTCTCTCTCTCAAAGTCAATCATCTTATTCTCTTTTTCTCCTTGACTCCGTATTTTTAAGTTGGGAACAATCCCATAACAATTTTAATGCAGCTCTATACTAAGTCTACTTTCCAAAAACTTCCATCATCTATAAAAGATTGGAAGGAATTACTACGATCCCTCGGTCTTCTTCTTCTTCTTCTTCTCTTTCCGGCTAAAGCTACTGGACATTTTTTTTCTTTTTTTCGTACCACTGTGCTTATTAGAAGATCGTTCTAACATAGTGATACGATCGGTTCCACCTTAGACAATCCTGCATGCACTTGGATTCTCTTCACTGAACACTGAGGTGATCTGGTTCCGATCTCCACCACGGCCGTGATGCCAGTAACCATCTTCATCGTAGGGTCCGAGAGCAGCGTATCGAATGTCTTGTGATGGATAAGGGGATGATCTGTAGTTGTTGTAGCTTTGGATGACATAGTAAGGCGGATGGCACGGGATGGCGCCATGTCTTTGAGGATAGTAGTAGTTCCATTGTCCTTTTTGGATGCAATCGTGTGGGTAGTGATGCACCACCATGGGGATCTCGCCGACGTCTTTAAGATGCACAGGCAATGCGTCTTTGGCTTCAGGAGATGGCTTCTCTACTTGAACGACGGCATTATCTTGGGATGGGGCATCATCTTTGGCCGGCTCAGCCGGAGGCTGGTTGGCAGCATCTGACGCAGGTGGGTCGCTGCTTGGTGCTGCTTCTGTTGGCGGTGGTGGCTGCTCCGGGCCATTATTTTCAGTGTGGGAACAAATGGTAGCGATCTTTCTCGTCTTCTTGATGGCTTTAATGATCTTATCTGGATCAGCTGTGCCCACCACTGTCAGTTTCTGAGAAGCTAAATCTATGTTGACATTGTATACACCTGCAAAGATCCATGTAGTTGTCAGAACTTTGAGAACATGCATGAAGAATACTACTTCTCCTTCAACCTACTATTTCGAGTCATCATTACCATCAATACCATGCATTGCCCTCTTGATCCTCTGTACGCAGCCATTGCAGTCCATTCGGACCCGAAACTCCAGGACTCGAGCTTTCTGCAATTTAGACACACAAGAACGGAGATGCATTTTAGAAAGCATGTTCATGATCCCCTTTCCATCTATCTCCATCATTCTTTCATAGACTTGCTTAATTACCTCTAGCTCGGGAACCATGTGAGAACTCGGATGAGGGATGCAGCGACCAATGCAGTTCTGTAAGCAGAACCTTGGAAGACAATGAGATGAGTGTTGCAGGCGATTGACTATTTGTAGCAGAAAAATGGAATTCCGGGCACCGAAAGAACACTCAGCTATTCTGCTTTTCTCGGGTCACTATTATTATTATTATCATTATTTTTCTCTAGGAGTGTAAATGGAGGCGTGAGATTGGCTTCTGCTTGCATCATGCAGCACTGAGGGAATTTGCTTTGCTCTAGAGAGAGAGAGAGAGAGGGGATGGGCGGCTTCTTGGTCAAAAGAGCAGCTGCTTTTCTTCTTCTTCTTCTTCTTCTTCTTCTTTTCTTTTCTTTTCTTTTTTGTTTTGTTCATAGCTGAAGAATTCCTCCGGACAAAGAAAAGAATGGCTGTCGTTAGTGGTCAGAAGAGATGACACATATGTGCATGAAAAAGACTTGTTTTCTGATGCCATCTACTTAGGTTGAAGGAGACATCCAACCTTGTTTATAGGCGTCTGATGCCATCTGACCAGCCTAAAGATTTGCAAGCTGCACTGCAACAATTGGAGAAATCTTTTCATCACTGGTGGAGGAGAATCTGAGAAAAAAAGGAAGTTGCTAATACATTTATCTTGAAATATAAATTATATCTAAAAGTCGGTACATTAAAAAAGAAAGATTCACTTTGCCTTTCCTTTTCGTCTTGTGGACTATTGATAGGTCGTGAAGGATAGAGGAACTTTTATCTCCCTCTTCTTTTTTTTCTTTGCTTTATTCGGAACTCTACCCATCTTTCTCTTCCATGTCAGATAGTAGGACAAGTGTCTATTCTTCAGGTGCAAGCTAAATGTGACATGTAGAATATAAACTGTGTGAGTTTTGTATGTGGCGCAAGTAAAAAAATCACAATACCTAAAGTTATCTATAAAAATATTGCAAAAAATTAAAACGTTTAGTAGAAGATTATATATATATATATATATATATATATATATATATATATATATATATATATATATATATATATGTATATAATGTATTACAAATACAAACAGTAGACATAAATAAATTTCATTATATGATACAAAAATGTTACAATAATAATAATTGAGTTTATGATAAGCACAAAGTTACAAATTTATACAAACAAAATTAGTGAAAAAAATACAAAGATATATTAAACAGTTTGACTTAAGACACAAAGACACAAACGATGTCATGTTTAAGTATTCCACTCTTGGATATTAGACTTATAGATCTGAAAGTTTCAGATCTAATATAGCCGCTCATTGAGAGTGGTAGCTAACCTTATGAGGTTAATTAAGTGTCAATAGATGATTATCAACTTTCGGTATCATAAGAAGAATATCCTATGTGCTCTTACTTAAGCAAATCACTAGCTAGGGTCGATCAAATCATAATAAATTCGATAAACGTGAGATTTGGATTAAAAGATGAGTTCTTTAGGCGAATTTGATTAGAGTAAGACTCATATAGATTTCATATAGGCCTCATAGTGTCATGCCTATTATATGATCTTTAAGATATTAGATAGATAATAGACTATAAATGCACGGTACGCTTGTAATAGATCCAATAGATTAGATCCCTCTATCTTGTTTGAGGACTATGGCGTAATAGCATAGTACGCTTGTAATCGATGAGTTGAGTGAATTATTACGAGGATAATAATTCATTGAGTCAGAAAGAGTTCTAATAAGTAAAACTCACGACCAACTTAGTATTAGGCCTAGATGATCATACATATATGGTAGATGATACGATAGTAGAGGATTGGATATTTGATATTTAATAAGCCTTTGTTTAATTGGATCCATTGGGTGAAACCCAATAAGTGCTTAGAGTGGATATTTGGATACAGATCCAATTCCCATTCAGCTAAGGATAATTAGATTGAGATCCAATGTCTAATATATCAGAGTAATTGGATGAAGATCCAATACCCAATAGAGCAGGACCCATTAAGATTAAGTTGAGATGACTCTCTATAAATAGGAGAGGGACCAAAGCGTCATGAGCTAGACTCTTTAACCGGCCACCTCCTATTATCCTCCCTCCCTTTCCTCCCCTACAATCAGCCTTATTCAGGGCATGAGAATAGCAAGAAGGGCCAGCTCCTTCTTGTGTTTACTACTGCGTGGTGGTGCGCAAATGCAAGGAAAGAACGCATCATGAGAGGATATACGTCGTCACTTCATTCACCATGCGGATCATAGCTAGAGAAGAGAGCATAAGATATCCTTCATCCACGGACTTGGATCTGTATTGTTTGGGGATACACGAGTTTCCCTAGATGAGATTGTCTTATACATCTTATGTAGTGTTTAATTTTACAAGCTTTTCGCTCCCAATCATTACACGAAAATTAGATATAATTCTTTGAGAAAATTAGTTTTTATTTTATTTTTTTTCATTATGAATATGACACTCTTTAAGGTTTCTCAACAATGGCATCAGAGCCAGGTTTATTGTGTGATGATTGGTTATTAATTGCGCGTGTTGTTGAATCACATAGAATCTATTTTTGTATAAAGTTGTTATGTTTATTACCGATTGCAAATTTGAACTATATTTGTTCTGGTACTTAAAAGGCTTCATCGGTCATTGGTTTATCATAAAAATAGTTAACAGAAAACTAAAATATAGGGTAGCAATGATTGTTGGGAAACCTGGGCTACTCTCGGCCTGGCTGAAGACAACTATGGCCAAGGGTGTTGGGAAACCTGGGAGAGCATCAAATGCACAGTAAAAAAAATAACATAAATTGATATTCCAAAAATGGATTTATATTGAATTGCATGTGATAATTAGGAGCGAAAATAGAAAATTGCATAAGACGTGAAATGATCTCACATAAGAGAACTCATATATATATGTAGATCCCAGCCCATGGATGAAGGAGATCTCGCGTTCTCCTCTCTAACAGTGATCCATATGGCAGATGAAGCGGTGATGCACCTCCTCTCGCAACATGTTCTTTCCTCACTTTCGTGCACCACCACCATGCAGTAGAGGTAGTCCTTCTTGCTACCCTCTCTCACCAAAGAGGGGGGCAATCAGCTAAGGAAGAAGTAGGGAGAGAAGTCAGGAAGGTGGCTACTAGTCATAGGTGCCCTACAAGCAAATC